ATTTTGCTGATCTTAGGCCTAATTTGCAGTCACAGAACATCTTTGGCATAGGCATAAGCCACTGAAGATTTTACTCGTGCACCCATTTCGACACTTGTGTGACTCCAGAATACTGTTGGTCTCCATCTATGGCCATGCTAGCTACAATCACTTTGTGGACTGTGATAAAATATCCCTTAAATGGTATCAGAACATTGCTAGCCTTAAAGCAGTCTAGAACTGGTGGGCAAAATCTGTCCAAAACTGAGAGTACATTCTGAATCCTCTGAAGAATTGCAATGCCGAATTTTGCCCATAGTTTAACCTTTACATAGATAAAAGCTATGCCTCTGAAGACTTCATCTTTCAAGTTCAGCTGCTTGCATTTGTGCCCTCTATCCCTTCGCTTGTGCTGCAGTGGAATCTCACCTTTTTCTTACCTTTAAGGCAACACCTTCAAATTCAGCCCCTGAAAAGCACTCACGGCTCTCCAGCCCTCCATGGGCTACAGAGCTCACCATTTCACACCAACCTTTTCAGAACAATACATTTTATTTTCTTCAGAAATATGAACAAAGCAAAACAAAACCAAAGCACTTCCAATACAGTATAAAGTCACATGTTTTCCATCTTGCCTAACCACTGCCCAAAAGCTAAAAAAAGCTCAAACACTTCAGCCCGTGATAGCAGAGCCTTCATCCATGAGAATCTGCTCCTTCTAGCCTTTCCTGACCTCCTATTCCTGCTATTGTTTCAGTTTCTAAGCTATCTCCTATCACATTCTCAACAGTAGCGAGACAAGCTGCCGAACCCACTGACGCGATTAAGGTAAATGCAGAGACACATAATATTTTTATGATGGAGTAATGCCAGACCTCTCATCTTACTTGAGGTTGATGCATGAGACCACGCCAGTCAGGTCGTGTGTCAGGATCACATGATGGACCTGAGGTCACATAACAAGCACACATTGGGGGATGTGATGAGAACAGAGCCATGGCGTAGCAACATAGCATCAAACAGGGTCACTTTTTCTGCAGCAAAATGCCCTGAGGTCTCTGCCATTTCAGGGCCAGGAAAGATTTTGCAGCTTGTTACAGGCCCCTGACAAGGTGCGGTTACACCAAAACAGGGGATAGGAACATGTCCTCATGCCGAAGAAAAGACTGATACTACGCAGAGAAAGGGTAAGGATAACGTTTCTAAAGACAGAGAACAAAATTCAGCTTGTCCGATTGCACACAATACTGAGAATCACACTTAGTAACTACACCTTTGTGCAGCTTATCTAGAAATCAGACTAAGCGATAGCGGCCACTTTATTCCCAGTTGTAATTCTGGGGTAATCAGACTGTCTGCCTTGACAGTTTGCAGTACATAAATACCCCATGGTTCAATTCTCATGCACACACACTAACTGGAAGAAAGAAAATGCTGATATGCTGACGCAGTTGTAAAGCCCATGTCACACTAATTTCACCTACTTACACAACTGCCAGATCAAAAACTCCTTAGAATACCAGGATCAGTTATTTTTGCTTAAAAAACAGCCTTAGAAAATCAACAGTTTAAGCTACAGCTTTTGATGACACAGGTGTGGTCTAACAGTATTCTTGAGAGAGCTGAGATGATAAAGGGTTACAAAGGGAAAAGGCTTTGGCAAACTCTTGGAGGCACATGGGGAAATGGTTCTCTTCGGAGAAACAAATTCCAGGTGGTTAGCTCAAGTAGGGAAATAGCTGAAATACCTCTTTTGTGTGGTCTTGTAATGAAAGTGCAGTCACCCTTACTAGGCACAGATCTCTCAGTGTGTTACCGTAGCTACCTTTGATCAAGGCACCTGAGATTATCAACTGGGTATTCCCGATTCATTCATGTAAAAGAAATTACTCTGAATATTACGTATTTGAAGGTTTCCATGGGGTCTTTTCTCTCTATTCTTACTCAGCTGCACTCAGCATCCACTAGACACTCGTCTACTGTCTGGAAGCAAACTTAAGGGGTTTTTTGGTTAATCTGTCTTGGATTTTGGTTGGGTTTTTTTGGGTTTTTTTCCTCAACATGAATAAAATGTGGGTTGCGTGAACGTTTCTTTTAGAAGAAGAAACAGGTAACAGGTTCAGGCACATCTTTGTATATAAACAGGATTGATTAAATGTACAAATCATACATTAGGAGATGATTTCTCTGTAGACGGACATCTACATGCCTTTCTACCATAATTTTACAAAAAACTTCTCTGAGCTTTTCTTCAGTAGAGATTCATAAGGAATCCTCTGATGATACCTGTGATTTGTTTCTCTTTCTGTGTCTTTTTCTTTGGTGTTTCTGCACTTTCTCTTCCACATACCCCAGCAGCAGTCGGATCAGTGCCTCATGTCTGCACTGACATTCAGCCAGCAGTGGAGCTAGTTGCTCACATAATTCAACCTCACAAATGGCTTCTGATTTGGATGGTAATTTCATGGCTAAGCAAGCCTGTACAGGAGCCATTCTCTTATTTTGGCTGAATGGAGAACAGTCGTTGTGCCTGTTTGTGTGTCGATGAGCTGCTTCAACAAACAGCAAATGAGCTTGGACCATTTTTTTTTTTTTTTGACGAAATATAGCAAACTGCTCCCAAAGGTTGGCACTGCAGGACAGGCATGATACCTGACACGTGCGTGCAGCAGAAGCAACAGGCAGCGCGTTGTTATTTAGAGCTGCAATAAATAGGCGGCAGTTCTGGATCTCCAGTTGCCTTTTGTCAGCAGCAGTATAAAATTAGACATTCTGTCTGTGCTTCGTCACTTAACCCTGGCTGCCAGTCCACACCAATGAGCTGCCTTCCCCTCTAAAGATAGAGGTGATACTCGGTTATTGTCTACCCTTCCAGACAATTACGATGATGACTGATAACGCAGCTATAATGAGATGCAACACTTACTGGTATAGTGGCCTATTATATTATACATATCAAAGTTCATATTGATACATATTCGGTGTGAAGTTATGTCGTCTTATTTCCAACTGTTCTGTTGTGTAAGCAGCCCGAATAACAGATGGACAAAGGAAAACAAATAGATCGACCCAGTATCTTTTCCCTTTTTTACTGAGGAGCGTGAAATGTCAGCTGTGTGAGACTTACTGCAAATTCATTAAATGTAAATTTCTGGCAGATATTCTTCAGACGCTTCCCTAGCTTTTGCATTCCAAACATGGAGAGTCAACACAGGCTGCTGCTAGTTGCCAGCAATGGTGTGGTCTTGTTTCCTGCTCTTCTGCCATATTTTCCGTGCTGTCTGCTATTTCCGAATTTTAAGTATCTATCTCTGACATCCAGGAGTATTGAATTAGTCTTGCACATACTGCCACCTGCTGTGATTAACCAAAACTAGAGCTGAAATATTCCATTTAAGTAGATTTCAGCTTTTTATCAAGCATAAAGGGGGCCAACATTTGCCTTCAGGCATGCGTACCCTGAAACTGAGAACCTCCGATGGCTTCAGTCTACGCGTATGTGCTGTATATAACTACTAAGGAACTTTTTTTATTTAATTACTTCCAGGTGAAGTTATTTATCTTTGTGCAAAGTGCACATAAACCACCCTTCTGATTCTGTACATGTGAATGCACTTTGAACAAACACTCATCTATGCGTGTTAATGTATGTACAAACACGCACACAAACACACGGGTGATGTGGTGCAGGAAGGGAGGGGGACAGTGCCTGCCCTCTGGTGACTTCCCTTTCACTTACAGCCCAGAATTTGGCCCCGACCCTCTTGCCTTCAAAACTCAAGACCTGTGTTCAGGACGGGGGTTAGATTCGCACACTCCCGCTGGGGCAGCCACACTGCACAAATTGGTTCATTAGCGGCAGCATCATTTCCTCTCTTATTTCCCCACTAAGTAGTAACGAGCTTGTAAGTACGTTTTGGTAACACGTCCTGCCGCAGGGCTTTGACCGCAGGTTTTTCCCTCATGTGCGTGCTTCAGCAGAACCAAGCAGAGGAAGGATACCCCTGCTGCCCGAGTTGTCCTTTTGCGCATGGAAGCTGCAGTTTGAAAAGAACACGTAACAGCGGAAGCTGGTATGTTACTAATTAAACTTTTAAACCTCAACCACCCAGCTTGCCTGTCCACTTTAGATACACAAGTAGAGCAAGGAAATTTAATTGCAAGACCTGCCCTGAGGGCAGAATTGTTCTACGCCTGGGGGAAAAAAACTCAAAAAAACATTTAAAAAATAAAACCTTCCTCAGGTGGCCGAAGGCGGTGGGGCAAATCCCGGCCCCCGCCGGGCTGACGCGCGTTACGGACGCTGCTGGATGGCGCAGCCGGGCCCGAGCCTGCCCGGCCCTTGCGGGGAC